TTTAAAAATTCATATCATAACAAAAATAAACACCGGTATTCGGTATGAACCGGTATACCACCCAGAACTACAACCTATACTGAGAAATTCATTACTTTTTTTCACCACTTTAAAGGGGTCATATGATTCAATTTTTCCTTTCTCTTTGGAGTGTTACAAGCTCTTGGTGCATAAAGAAGATCTGTACCAGTAGAAACGACAGAAATGATTTAGGTAGATTAAACTGATGTAAACAAAGATACTAAAAACCTTTTACAGTGCTCCAGTTCCCATAGCTGTGGCTGTCAACTGACAGTTTTCACTGGAGCTTCATTCTTCCCGGCACAACTTCAAAAACGTTTACAACATTATTCGAAGACGAAAATACGATTACATTTTAGAAGCCGTGTGTGTGTGTGGGGGGGGGGGGTAACTACTCCCCAACACTTTAATGAAAGCGCGTCCGCACCTGTACAAGACATGCGAAAACAGAACTCTTACCTCACTCCATACGAGTGTAATCTCTTCAACTTCACAATGTAAAGCGTTCAAATTGCTTGTACAAAGTATCCTGACTGACTCACGGCCGGTACATCCGTGTGCGTGACTTGCACTTGTACAATGCCGACTGTTTTGAACGGACACGGGGGCTGTGGATGCGCCACCGGTGCTCACTCTCTCTTCAACGCCGTGTGTGATGATGGCCCTGCCCCCCAACGCGTGCATTAACCAATCCTACTACGGTGAAGGTTTGGGTTATGAATATTAAGTAGGCTACTTGACTTGACACCGCAGAAAAGGTAACCAAGTGACGTCAGTATGAAAGAATTAATATTCAAGAGCTAAACCTTCATCATAGTAGGACTTACTAAGCGCTTTATACTATTTATTTTGAAAAAGTATACTCCTTATAAACAGGATTTGGCAAGTGGCATTACATGACAATAAATATGTACATTTTAATGTCGTTTAAAACACAAATTATTTTCAGAATTGCAGAAGCAAAAAAGGTGTCATACATTAAACAATATGTAAAGAACAGAAAGGCTATTAGGATTTATTCTATTACATGCTATTTTAGGATCATGCCAGTGATATAGACCACAACTGAAAGTAACATATCTGTTTAAGCCGGCCAGATATGATACATGTTAAATAATAAAAATCATGTTAATATGCTTGTAAAACAGGATATACAACCATATCACTCTTAAATCCTAAATCATCTAACACCTACTGTGCCTGGTCGGTACAGATAAAAAATACATGTCAAGAAGTGTCACTCCTAAAGTCACACAGGATCAGTTTACTGAAAGTGCCCCTGGCAATTGAACAGGAAATGGAGAGGAAGTCAATCAATGTGCCCACCCTTCCTATCTGTTCTCCAACAGGTTGGACCGAGTCCAAGGATCACAGACAGATTTCTACCAGAAAACCCCACCAGAGGATAAGAGTCTGTGCTTCAACCATATACAAATAGAGTACCACCTAGTGGCTGATCAGTGACAATCTGGTATGTGATGTTTAATGAGCCTAAAAAATATTGTGTATGAGTCATGCCATTCATTATTCTTGTGAATCCTTGGCCTAATTGAGATATTAAACAGAAAGCATAATTCTAGTGGGTAACAACATTATTTAGTGTCACAACATGATTAAACGAAACAGTCAAAATACACTGTGGTGCCGTGTTTATAATGAATGAATGAATGAATGAATGAAGGTTTTTTGGAGGACAGTTGTGTAAAAGTGTCTGTCCAAGTTTTGTTCATTTTTCTGCGTCTCTGTGAACCTCTGGTTGATGTCTCTGTCTAATCTTACCTGAAAAAAAAATACAATAACAAGTGTGATTTAATTCTCACTCAATGCTGTGATTCTTTTAAGGCAAACAAAAAGAATGAAATAACAAAAAATAATGAATCATACAAAATATCTGCCTATTTATTGTTTTATCCAGTTGTATTTACTCAGTGCAACTCATAACATCCAAGTGAAAGACATAACACCAACATGTCATAAAAAAATCAGAATCACCGAGTTGGAAAAACTCACCCACCTCCTAAAAATAACTTGTAAACTCAATCATGTGTAGCTAATCACCTTCTCAGTGGCACACAAACCCATTTGGCTTTTAACTGTGATCAGCTGTGGTCATTTTGATTAGTTCAGCATGAAAAGAGTTTTTCTGGAGCATTTCAGGTATTGGTTGTGCAACTGAAGCAAACAATCAACTATGGCAAAAGATGTCCGGGATAAAGCTGTGGACAGGCACAAATCAGGAGAGAAAAAAATTCTAAGGCTTTTTTTGAAGAAAAAGTCACTCCTCAAGAAAGGCCACATGCAGTCACGACTGAGCTTTGCCAGAACGCACCTTGAAAAATCAGAGGCAGATGAGACTAAAATTGAATTATTTGGCCTCAACACCAAACGATATATCTGGCAGAAATCCAATACAGCTCAACATCCAAATAACCGCATTCCTACAGTAAAGCATGGAGGTGGTAATATCCTGTTATGGGGTGTTTCTCTGCAGCAGGGCCTGGAGCACTTGTCAGGATAGAAGGACACACAAATGGGGCAAAATACAGTCAAATTCTTGAGGGAAATCTGCTGCCCTCTGCCAGTTGTCAATGGGAAGAAGGTTTACCTTCCAACATGACAATGACCCAAAGCACACAGCAAAACTGAGCTCACAGTGATTGAAGGAGAAAAAGGTGAATGTTCTTGCATGGCCTAATCAAAGCCCAGACTTAAACCACATTGACAATCTGTGGAATGACTTGAAGACTGCAGTCCACAAACACTCACCATCAAATTGAACTGAACTTCAGCAGTTCTGCAAAGAAGAGTGGGCAAATATTGCAAAGTCTAGATGTGCAAAGTTAGTAGAGACATATCCCAACAGACTAAAGCTGTAATTAAAGCAAAAGTTTTTTTTTTTTAATTCAACTCAGTGATTCGGGGTTTATATATATATATATATATATATATATATATATATATTTGTTTATTTTTATAAAAAAAAAATCTGACATGTTCAGACATCTTTCACTTGGATGTTATAAGTTGTACGGAGTAAATACAGCTGGATAAAACAAAAACGGTGTCCGTTTTCATTTCAAGCTGCAAAGCAACAAAATGTGATTATTTTAAAGGGGGGCAATTCTTTTCTACACCCACTGTATAGTGCGAGTTTCAGTAATATCCGAGTTTAGACTGCCATCTTCTGGACATCACTGCACACTGCATCCGTAGTACTGAGTGTAGCCAGAAGACGAGAAGACAAGACGCATTTTAAACTGCAAACAGGCATACTACGCTTACTATTTTTTACCATTTCTTTTTAAACCAGAAATAGTGTGAGTAGTATGCTAGTATGCTGTTCTGAATTAGTCAATAGTAAACTTTAGCCCATAACGGTCCCAAAGGGTATAATCATAAAAAAGATTTTGTTTTATTAAATACTGATGAAGCAACACAATTTTGTGTGACAGAAGATGCCAATAGAAGTAAATATAAAGGCAGTAAGGGGTACTTTTACCATACAAATGTCCCATTATTGCATTTATTCACTCAAACGACTTTCTTTGGGATTCTACTATTTTAATACAGACAAACATCTCATGAATCTAGTTAACTAAGCATAGATAATTGACTGTAGTCAGTAAGACGTTAGGTGGTGACATATGTGACTACAATCACAAATAAAAAGAGAGTGATGGTATGAATAGTTAAAAGAATTTATGGGTAGTTTGTTTTATAAAATTAAAATAGGCCATGTTTTGATTGGTGATACAATTTTGGCCTCACTTGAAAATGAATAGTCAACATTAATGTAACCGGACAGTCGCTGCATGAGGTGGAAGGGAAGAAATCTCCCACCGAGCAAACCACCATCCTTCCTGTGGACTGGAGCTGGGCTGTGACCCAAGAAGTGCCTTATGAGCAAATGCACAAACAACACCAACAAACAAACAAAAAACAACAACAACAGTCCCCCTTCCTCCATCACAATATCTGTCTGTCTGACTCCCCGAGAGAGGTGGGATCACGTCATGGTTCACGTCCTTGCTGTGAAGAACAGCAGGGGAACTGAGAAAAGACTGGCCACAAAAGCTCCAGCACGACTTCTGAATAAAGGAGAAATCCTATTGACCGGAAGAACATGCAAGGCTGTTCAGCAGGGTCTCACGTTATCGGCCTATATTCAGCAGGCAACTCTCCCACTGCTGTTTTTAGTGATTTAGTCACACCACCAGCCCCGAATGACAGATCCCCAATCTCCCATCAGCCTTCTACATGTTCTCACGTCCCAGAACACACAGAAACAACTCAAAGAAGGGTGTTGGCAAAAAAAGAGAAAAATGTACAGTGTGAAAGCCAGTCAGTTCTTAAACAGCCATATATTCTATTTATTTACTATTGATAATGTAAGACAAAATAACAGTTTACTCTGATAAAATACAACAAAATAATACTAATATGGTCAAACTGGCAAGTTCACAGCCAATTTTATGTTGTATATATGCAAAAAGAAATAGAAACAGTCTGTATACTGTTGTGGTGTGCATTCTTTGGGAGTTAATGTGTATCTGAAAGTGTACAAGTTTAGGCCTAAGTCCAAATTTGACCCAGGTGTCCAAAAACATGATCTCTGGGAACACAAGAGTCCTCCCATTCCGTGTAACCGCAACTGCACTCTCAGTGCCTTTCAGTCAGGCAACGATCTCTCGCTCTGGCTGGCCTGAGTCCTCCATTGGCACAGCAGTGAGTACATTTATCAAGCTACATTTCACAGCGCTTCCTTCACACTTTTCAACTACCTAACTGAACTGGAGAAATCTCTGGATCAGGGAAAATAGGAGATCATTTTCCACTATAACACATAAATATCATATTTTAACGAAACATTTTGTTTCCTGCTTTTGCTTGTTGAAAATTAAACACTTTCAAGTCACACATTTGCTAATGTTATTTTTTTAAATGACTATTTTATTAATTTTTAAAGTGATGTCAGAATATGATGCCACTTTTGTTGTCCCAAATGTTAAAAAAGTCACAATTAAGATATAAAAACTAGAAAGTTTTGATGAAACTTTGATTAGGATGTGAGAACATCTATTCATATTTATGTGTTAATCTTTTACTTTTGTGATCTTTTATTTTTGTTTAATATTTCTGTCATCATGATGTGACTTGCTAAAGCCATTCTGTCTTTTACCAGTTCACAAGTACTTAGTGATTTTAAGTCATACTTTTTAATGTCATAATGTTGAATTATAATAATTTTTTTGTATGTCATAATTTTTTCTATCTCATAATTATTACTTTTTATGACATGATTTGGACTTTTTATCTCATAATTGACTTGTAATAACATTTTTCTCACAATTATAACTTTGTCAAAACTGTAATTTACCAAAGCGTTTTTTTCTTTTGTGGTGAAAATAGGCTTTCAAACGGCCTAATTATGGAATTAACTAAAAACACAGATTTAGAAATAAAATATAAAAAAATAACAACCAAAATTCAGTGCATAAGGATGGTGTCACAGAGGAAACAAAAGATGAAGAAAATAAGAAAGACACCAGAAACATCAAAAGCTGAGTATGTGACAGTCAAGGACTATTTGTATATAAATTAGGATATAAAAATGATTTCAGACAAA